TCCATACTAAGTGCACCTTGAAGAAGGTTTATTGCCTTTTTGTCATAGAGAACTTTCTTTTTATCATCGTTGTCCCATGCAGTTTTAGGCTTTGAAGAGCCCACGCCATTGATTACCGTTACCGGAATAAATGGACCATTTTCAACAGCATCCCATACTTCCTCTCCTTGTGCTTCTAGATGTGCCTTCATGCGTATTTTCTAGAAGTCAAAATATTCACCACAGAATAGAGGAGGCTTGTTGTTACTACCACCATCTCTGAAAACGGGTTGATGATTTGCAGAAGCCATTCTGGATCTCTAGGAGCAGGTTACCTATAACCTGCTCTGATACCAATTGTAAGTTTAAGAATGCGCCTAAGAGGGGGGGTGAATTAGGTGGTGGTCGATTTTTGACTTATTTTATACTTTCTGGTTTTGATTTAGTGCTTTGAAAACTGTAAAGTGCAGAAATTAAAGAGACACGGAGATTTATCCTGGTTCCTTCCACACCCCGGAAGTACGTCCAGTCCCCTTGCAAACACGCAAGAGATTTCACTATTTTGTTAGAACTTTTACAAGACTCTTCCTAGTCTTATCAACTAAAGAACCTAACAAATACCAAGAACACGCTCTTGGATTTCCAATAAGTCTCTTGAGAACAATCCTCTCAAAAGATACCTCTTGTTTCCAACAATGGACAACAAGGAACAAAAGTATTCTAATACTTAATTCCAACAATCCTGGAAATAAGTTACACTTTGTATAATTCTATGAAGTATGATTTCTTGAAAGATGTTGATCACATAGAGTGACTTCTTTGAAGTTTCTTCTTTCTTCTCTTGTAAGCAATTCAAACTGTAACACAATGGTTAGATAATGCTCAAAGATTTCTGTTCTTATATGTGTGAAAGTGCAGAAAATCTTTGTTCTTAAAAGTTAAGAAATATGAAGTTTGAATATTTTACAAAGTTCAGAATTATTGCATAAGAGAAGAGTTGTTTTATAATTTGAAAATTTTAGTATTTAAAGTAATCAAGATACCTTTCCAAATGGACACTTTTCTGTTTGAAAAACTTGTGAGGATGCAATGTATGACCATGCATCTATTGGAGAAAAGGTGTGAAGGATATCTTGAAACCAGTTCAGATTTTTCAAAAGTTACAATGTGTAAATCGATTAACATAAGATGTAAATCGATTGCACGGGTTTGTAACGTTCATGTTTTCAAAAAAATTGAAGTGTAAATCGATTAGCATTTTGTGTAAATCGATTTACAAGTGTTAAAAATTCAACTCAGTTCTGTGATCAATCGTTTTACACTTCATGTAAATCGATTGCTGCCAGAGACAATCAGTTTTTGAAAAGGCATGTGTAAATCGATTTACATCAAGTGTTAATCAATTTACATCAGTAAAAAAACTTAAAATTTGTTTTAAAATTTAAGTGAAGTGTTGTGGTAAGTGTGTATATCATTTTTGAGCATTTATAATCAATGTAGTTCAAATGAGAATTGATATACTTGATTGCTTGCCATGATCCTTGAAGCTTTGAGTGAATGATGCTTTAAGCTAATTCCACTTCTTTTTCTTCTTGCCATAGTGCTTGTTTGTCTTTTATCAAAACTAGCTTGTTTGTCTTTCATCAAAACTAAAGTTGAGTTGAGGCTTGAGATTACAAAATATGCATGGGGGTGCATGAATGGATGTGATGTCATGTTCCATCATTTCCAAGGAATTTACATGCTTTGATTTTGATTTTACACATGTAAGGGATGGAAAAGTTCAGCACATGACTTACATGTATGATTCCCCGGAAATAAAAAAACATGTATGTTAAGCATATGGTTAACCATGTTATGTATGCAAAGACATGAGATCAAAGTTCCATCACTTATGTATATGAACCATATGAATATCACTAGATCAAAGGTCTGACATAGCTTTCGCACATACAAGAACCAAGTACAGTGTAGATCATCAATTGTACGGGATCAAGGCTCCTGGGACATCAAATACTGCTGAGCCTTTTCTGAACATGTTGGGAATACCAAGATCGAAGGCCCAGATGAACCTCCAAATAAACAAGTCAGGAACTCAGAAATAAATCTGAGAACCCCATAGTCACCAACATAACATACGGTCACCGTCTGAACATAGTCACCATCTGAACAAGTCACCAATCATACATGTAAAGATTATCCCCTCCCCACTCACAAGTAAAGACTAGGTTAGGCTAAGCCAATGGTAACTAAAAATCACGGGTTCGCCTGAAAGCACTACCATCAAGCCACATATGTGGATGACAATAACACCCCTTTTTAACCTCATTTGAGCATAGATGACATGACCACGTTGGTAGGACCTTCGTTCAACAGTCGTCATGTTTTACTCTATTCTTAGGTTTCCTAGATAGTGCACTCTAGCCTGGGTACTAGGCCTTTTACCTCATAGTAACACCCACCCAACATGGAAAACCAGCACAACAGATAACCAATATTGAAAGCAATAAAATATAATGCAAACATATGCTCAGATAAACGTGTACAAAATGAACAAGCCATAAAGCATACAAATAAACACCCAAAGAAAAGAAAACAAGATCTAGGAGCGACTCCGGGATGGACCAACAATTAGTCGATCTATCCCCAGTGAAGTTACCAGCTGAAACAACCGGCTGAACATCATCAAACAATAAAGTCGCCATCGAATATCTTTTATCCCACATGAAGGGAAAGGTGAACATCGAGAAAACCCGAGAAAGGAGAAGTCACGGTCTTGCAACCGAGAGATCGGGTAAGGCATTCGGTTACGCGAGTGGAAGGTATTGGCACCCCGCACGCCCTTCGTACTCTACGGTATCCAATCTTATTATCTATCTTATGGGTGTGTCTAATATGTGTCTACTACTTACTACTGAGGAAGAATGCATGCAAAAGAAATGTAGGAAAAAGAAGAAAGTATTTACGAATTTTGCTCGGTTAGGCCCCACGACCTGTTGCCTACGTATCCCTTTTGAGGATTCAGAGCGTTGTAGTTCGGCTCACATGTTCCTATTTGTTTTGTGTTTTTTTTTTGTGACGAACCTTTGTGAAAATGGTTTTGAGTTACACCATCAAGGCAAGATGCCACGCTTGATTGGTTTATGTTTTGTTACCTTGAAAAAGAGTTTAAGTATGATTAAGATGTTTTATGGTTTGAATGGAAAAAGAAGGTTTTAATTTTAAATGTAAATGCAAAAAAGGAAGAAAAATAATAAGAGGGAAATGTCTACCTATGTTAGCATACCAAAGACCTAAGGGTGAGGATAATTATCCTATAGGGAACATGCAAAGATCAAAGTCATTACTAATTGAGTGACATCATCGATCATTAACAAAGGAAAATGATAAATCCCTAAGGGAGCATGCAAAGATCGAAGTCGTTATCTCAATTCTAATTGAGTGACATCATCGATCGTCAACAAAGAAAACAATAAAATCCTATGGGGAGCATGCAAAGGCTAAAAACGTTATCTCAATGCTAATTGAGTGACATCACCAGCCGTCAAAAGATGAAAGAAAACACAAGCACAATTAGCAAACAAGTGCGGAATGCCTGCTACAGGTCTTTAAACAGCGACTTCGAGTGCACATTCTTTATTTCCTACCTCTCATGACATCCAGAAAAGCGGTAAAGCATGCATCTTTATTCCTACTTCTCATGGCAAAAAAATTGAAATACAATGCGGAAATGAGGAATAAAATAAAGTCCTGATGATACCTAACGGAGAAGGTCGTTGCCTCTTCAAAGTCATGTAAACGATAAAAAAAACTCAACAAAATACGCGCGGAAGCTTCAACCGATCAATTAAAAATTATCCGCAATAATTATAAGAAGTGAATCAAATGGAAACATCCAGGAAATGCTAAACAAAATACAGGTCGCTAGTCCAGAAAAGTTAAATGTCAGGCCCATTTGAACTTAGGTCCACAAAAGTTTTTTAGTGTCAAGTTCCCAAAACTGCTCCAAAAACTTATTACAGGTTTACTGTTTCAGTCCAGGCCCATGCCATTACACATGCATATTCAGATATCATAACATGTCAAAATGAACCAAAAAAAGAAAGAAAAGAAAATGCACAAATAAAGGAAAATAGTGGAACACTGCCGTTTTAGTCCATAAATGTGACCCTTGGCATTATCTTGAACCTGATTCTCTCCATCTTCCTCGTTTCACTTCCTTTCGCCGCCGTACCATTCGCCTTCTCCGCTTTATCTTCACCTTACTCCGCCATAGCTTCACGCCTCTTCCCTGACTTCGTTTCATCCAAATCGTCGCTTCTCACAAACGGTAAATTACCGCCACAACCACCACCATCTGTATCGGAAACCTCAAGCCACATACACCAATCTCTTCGTCTCTGAGTGAATGTTCTAAATCCTGAAACCTTTTTCATCAATCTATTTTTGTTTGTTCTAAATTTTATCAAAAAACACATAAATCCTAAGTCTCTGAGAATGCAAATTAAGCAAGGATGAATGGACTCCCGGCTGCGCCTCCATGGGGTCGTTGATCTACATGCTTTTCTCTATGTACTCATATGAAGAAGCCACAAAGAAAGCAAAAAAAAATGAGGTTCTGGATCTTACCGGTCGGAGACGCTCCGATGGCGTTTCATAGTCGCTGTCGACGAAACAGAAATCCAGAAATCAATTTAGGTACGATATCCCTCGATCTTCTTCCGCTCGATCTTCTTCTTCTACTTTTTCGCCGTGTTTCTGAGATTTCGAATCCTTGTATACCCCGTGCGATTTTGTTGCGTTGATTTTGGCGGTGTGTTGTTGAAGTAGAGAGGACAGAGGTACTGAGAAATAAACTCAGTAACGAATAACGAATATGATGTGTTGATGATGATGTTGCGGTTGCGCAGACGATGAACTTTCTGAATGAAGATTGAAGGATTGAAAATGATGAGGGTGTGCTGAGAGGTATGGTGAAGAACGGTTGAGAGAGGTTGCAGGTTGAAGGTGTGCCTACAGAGATGGTGAAAGGGAAAGTGTATGGGAAGAAGAAGTTGCAGAGGGTGGTGATTTTGCTGATGATGATTGAGGGCACTGAGAAAATAACGATTTCTGGTGAGTTCTATAACTGATTTTTCTGTGTTTTGTGAAGAATGAATCGTGAAGTCCTGAATTAAAGAGAAGAATGGCTTCTATAGTGACGAGAGCTTGAGGAGTTGGTTACAGATATAACTATCCTCAGCCCTAGGATTGAGTAGAGGTAGTTACATATTGAAGGGCTTGGATGGAAGTTAGTTATAGGATGTTTGAAATTTAGTTAGAGGTTGATGAGCTGGCACAAATCTCTTATTGATTTTTTTGATTTTAATTGCTAATGAATTGGTTTATGATATCCAGGTGATGAACTGATTTTGTCTGTTGTTGTGGACTTCAGATCCGTTTATGCAGGTTGTGGTAGGTTTTTTCTGAACTGATGTTAACTAGTTTTATGTTCTTTCTATTTGAGTGCAGGTTTGTTTTTGTTTGAAAGCAAGGCATGGGTCGGAATTGTACCAAGCCAGTTTGCTGATGGATGCAGGGATTTAGTAGAGGCAAGGCAATGTGTTTGGAGTTATTTTGGCCTGATGTTTTGTGACTGTTTTAATGGTTGTTGAATGTGTTTGTAGGTATATGTTGCCGCAACTCTAGTGGTGTCTCGGCATGGTTTCAAGGTCCATTGATGGATGAGGATAAGAATGTTAGTTAGTTGAAAATGAAGGTGAGATACCATAGTTCTGCCTTGAAGCCCTTTAGCATGTATATATGATGGCCCGTGTGCACTTGCAATAGCTTTTCTTTGAATGACGTTTTTCTGAACTAGATTTGAATTGGTGTATGTATGTTTATGACTTGTATTATTTAACTGGAATTGTTTTGATGTGTTTTTTAGGAAAATTGTTAGAAGTAGGTGGTAGAAAAAATGTTATTTAATTCAGTTATTGATTGGTAGCTAGTTATGAATGATCGGGACCGAGTTTTAGTTGGTTAGGTTTGGTGCCTGTTTGTATGAAGTCATGACTGTTTGGGAGGACCAGATTGAAATTGACTGCATTGAATATGCTATGCCAGCCACCTAAAATTTGATGAATAGCCCAGGTTTTGTAAGCTTTCGGTATATCACCTCTTGTACAGATTAATCAAGTTGCAGTAGGTTCTAAACAGGTTTGGTCTGTTTGTGTCCCATTTTTTAACTGGTTTGGTTGATACATACAGGGCTACAATATAATTATGTAACAACTGCTCTGTTTTCTTTGACTGTGGATTCATGGTTTGCTGAACTACTCTTGTGTGTGTACAGTAGGATCCTCTCAGCATCGGAATTTCGTATTGGATGTTTGGTCACAGGTCTGGGCATGAGGAAATGTTGCAGGGATGCAAGGTTTATTCATGAAGCCACTTTGAGGAGGATGCATTATGGAAGGCTTTGAAGTAGGAAGAAGCTTGGGAGTTGCTTGGACATGAAGACAATTGTAACATTGAAGTATGAAAGATGATGACTTAGGCTTAGGATATATCTCTATGTAGCTTTTTTGTAATTTCTCCTTAACGTATATACTACCTGACCTTGAAAGTTCATGATAAACCTTAAATGTTCAAGTATTATTTTCAACTTGTACTCAGAATAACAAATCTTCTTTAGCCTTAAGCTCATGAAAAGTCTCTTTGGTCTCTTCCTTGAAATGAACAATCATGCTAAAATGCCTATCTTTTTTTACTACCCCTCTTGAATGAATCATTATGTTTAGAGATCTCCACATAAATGGATAGGTTTGATACTTTCCATAATCCTTTATCCACAAAACCCTAATATCCCATAAGAAAACCCGGGACTTGGGCTTAAAGCATTTGAATGAAATCCACAGAAGGTGGCTCGTATCAAATCTTAGTTAAACAAATTATCATAGAAGGATAAAGCTTAAAGCATTTGAAAAGTATTCAGATGACATGTATCATGCCCACAAATCCTAATTGGAAACGCATATCTGCATGTACTTCTTTTTGCATTATGACCAATTGACTCGGAATGACCAATTGACTCGGAATTCAATCAACCATGTTTATTGTTTGATCAACATAGGAACCCTAGTCACCCATGCACAATGAAAATACCAATCGAATCAAGTTCTTTTGATATGCCAATCTCACACCATATAGAAACCTGATTTCAATGGTCCTTGATCCCGTGCTAAGTTTATTGGTTAATGATGCATGATGTGTTAGATGACCTAATGAGAAGTATGGACATGAAGGATGCAAGATGCATAAGCCAGATGATCCTTATATAGGTTGTGCCAAGGGCAGGAGCGGATTTGGTCAATTCTAGTCATTGGGTTAGTCAAGAACACTCTTCATTTTCAACCTTCTAATCTATGCATACACACCAACATTACATTGTGATGATGTTTCGTCGGGGTGCCATCTAGACGAAGAATTGAAGATTTCCAATTGGTTTGGGTTAAGTTCTTGTAGCGGTCTTCATCCAGAAAAATCATCATGTTTGTCCTCCAATATCATTTGTTGAATTGGTCTGTGTTATTTGTGAGCCTCTCGACTATCATGTTGATAGAAGAGTAGGATTGTTCCTTGAGTTGTAAGGTTATGTCATTCATTCATAAGCTTGTAAACATTGAATGTTTATGTGTCAATCTCTCTTAAGCTTTTAAGCATAGAGTCGATTATTGTTATTGGATAAAGCTTTGAAATAAATCCAAGTGTCTTTGTTAGTCAAGAGTTTTTGCTGAACTTTGTTTGAAAGGGGTGTCTTTCAAGTAGTTTGATGCAGTCACCAGAGGTTGTGGCTGTTAGATATCCACTGAGGTGATTTAGGAAGTGAGATGGTGATTTCTCATATTTAGGGAGGACCTAAGTAGAAGTGTCATTGGATATGGATTAGGCAAGAAGTTATAAACGAGGGAGTTTAACTTTGAACTAATACTGCTGATAGTGGACTTTATTCTTGGCTTAGTAGCCCCCAGAGTAGGTGTTGTTATACACCGAACTGGGTCATCATATATGTGTGTTAGTATTATTTTCTAATTATATGACATGTTAAATAAGATGTTGGAACATCTATCATGACTCTGTTCTGACATGTTTATATCAGTATGCTTTATCTAGTTCAAGTATTGTTACACAGAGATCTTTGTCTCAACATGTGTTAGGACATTGCTATCTGTATACCAGAATTTCATTATTCAATATATACAAATGTTCTTGAAAAACTACTTCTCGACTAAATTTTTTAACCTTTAAACCTTGAATACCTCTACCATCACAAAATCCATCATGACGAGAATCGAAAACTCCTATAAAGTTCACATCTAACAAATAGTTTATACAAAACTAAATACATTCTTCTATGATGTACCCTTTGAAATTCTTCATGTGACGCTCTAACGGATACATTCACGCAAATAAACTGGACCACAAATTCTAATCTCCCTTATTAGATGAACAACTAAGTGAACCATAATGTCAAGATAATTGCAGCTTCGTGTTCGAATTCATCTAAATTTCAAGGATCTATAACTTTACTATATATAACATTGAAGAATAAGCACAATCTGGTTATAGTCACCCTTAAATGTACTACATTGTTTCAAAATCTGGAAACAGTGAATTTATTTTCTTTCATTGCAACGAATCAGCTACATGGAAAATTTTTTCATCACAAACTCTTTCATCTACATGCCATATAGTATTCTTTGTGTCACTAACATTAGCAAACAATCTCATGAACCTTGGAATTATTGGTAGATATCACATCACCTTGACAGAAACACTCTTGCTAGTTGCACCACCGTCGTCATCAATATTATTGTCCTTCTGTTTGTAGTGCGACACCTCACACCTCGGGCACTCCTTCAAGTTTTCAAACTATTTCCTATATAAGATGCAATCATTACGACAATCATGTATTTTGACATAATCCAAACCCATTGGACACAATATCTTCTTGGCCTCATAAGTACGGTTTGACAATGTGTTACCTTTAGAAAGTATTTCTTTCAACAATTCAAGTAATTCAATAAAACTTTTATCCGTCCACTCACATCTCGCCTTAAGATTAAATAGTCTTAACACAGCTGAAAATCTTGTAAAACCTTTACATCCTAGGCACAATGAATCTTCCAAGTCTTTTCGCAAAGTATCTATCATACTAATTTTCTTGAAAGCATCTACTCCAATATCATAAATGATGTCTTCCAGATTATCAGTCATACATTCATCATCTTCAACTGTTTGTGACAAAGGTCTCTTTTTTGATCCTTCACCATGACATAATATCCATTTTGTGTAATTTTGAATAATTTCATCTGAACCACAATGATTGAATATAACATTCCTTGAATGTTTATTCGTATGATAACATTTCATACAAGGACACAAAAAATCTCATTGTTGCCAGGAAGGTTTTTTCTATGAAATCAAAAAATTATTTCAATCGATTCTCATACTCGCTACTTAATCTATTGGCTTTCATCCAACTATAATCCATAATCACATAAAGCTTTTGAAAATAAAATAACAACAACAACAATAAAATAATGCATGGAGAACAACAAGAACAACAGTAATGGAGAACAACAAGAACATACCGAGGAGCTCCTTGAAAAAAAAGTATTCTTTCGTTGGCTAAGCTCCTTGGAGTAGAAGTGTTCTTTCATTAGCTAAGTTCTTTGGAGTAGAAGTGTTCTTTTGATAGGGCTCGATTAATGAATTAGATGGACACAAAGGGGGAATCAAACATATATAAAAACTTTATCTCGGCTAAACTAAAAAACCGAAGTAGAATAGTCGATGTAAAATATATAAAAAAGAGGCTTTTTTTGTTTGCCAAAAGAATAAAAAGTTAGGGAGTTTTTATCTCGCTTTTGAAAACAACCGAGGTAACATATATGACATAAAATCTTTAAAACATAATGATACTTTTTTGGTTCCATATAAAGCACTAAATATCAGGAGCTGAGAATTGAACCTCAAACCCTGAGCATTTACTTATGTCACTTTTATTAAAAGCCGAGGTAATAAGATTTATTATTATTATTATTTAAATAAAACAAAGCGCTTCATTCACATGTACCCGCGGTTTTTTTCATTCTTTGTGAAATCTTCATCATGAAAAGTATTATTTGTTGTAGTGCAAAGAATAATGTATTTGTGAGAAAAGGTTATTGTGATAAGGGACTCTTTGTGCTGAACATTTCTGAAGTTATGAATAATAAAGTCTCTTCTTTTGCTTACTTGATTGATTCTTATTATATATGGAATGCTAGATTAGGACATGTTAATTATTCTTATAGTAAAAGAATGCAAAGTCTTGATATGATTTATTTAAATAATAAGCAATCTGGTAAATGTGATATTTGTTTAGAATCAAAATTAACAGAAGAAAATGTATGTTTGTGGAAAGTGAATATGATCTTCTTAGTCTAATTCATACTGATCTAGGAGACTTAAAGCAAATTACATCTAGAGGGGAAATAGCTATTATATAACTTTTATAGATGATTTTTCAAGATTCACTAAAGTTTATTTGTTAAAACATAAAGATGAAGTGTTTGATAAATTTATCTTATACAAATCCAAGGTAGAAAATTAGTTAAATAGAAAAATAAAAAGAGTTAGATCTGATAGAGGAGGAGAGTATATTTATTTTAATGATTAATGTGAAAAATAAGGAATAATTCATGAAGTAACTTCCCTTGTTCTCCTCAATCAAATAGATTAGCTGAAAGAAACAATATGAATTTAAAAGAAATGATGAATGATATGCTTGTTAGTTCACATGCACCTGAAAATCTTTGGGGTGAAGCTTTGTTAACCGCATGTTTTTTGCAAAATAGAATTCCACATAAAATTATTGGTGAAACACCATATGAATTATGAAAAGGTTATAAGCCAAACTTGAAACACTTAAAAGTGTGGGGGTATTTAGCAAAAGTTATGTTACCTGATTCCAAGAAAAGGAAAAGAGGTTCTAAGACATCGGATTATTTGGTTATTGGTTAAGCCGAACATAGTGTTGCATATAGATTCCTTGTTCTTAAAAGTGATGTGCTTGCTAATAACACTACTGTTGAAACTAAAAATATTGAATTTTTGGAAAATGTTTTCCTCTTAAAGTTGAAAGTGTTGTTGGTAAACCATATTTAGATATTTCAAATGAAAATTCAAGTGATGATTTAAGAAGAAGCAAAATACAAAGAAAATAGACATCCTTCGGAAGTGATTTTTATAGATAACTTGTTGAAAATGAACCTCAAATATTTAATGAAGCAATTTCTTCTCCTGATGCAAAATTTTGAAAATAA